CAACATGTGTACTACTGTTTCATGAGAAACTATTTGTTCTGTAAGCCTTCACCTGAAGTACAATAAAATATATATAAAAAAAATCATATTGATTAAAGGTAGGGTTGCACAGCCGATCAGCATAATTGCTGTCAATTAGTACACCTGTAAAAAATTGAATTGGCAAAAGTTCTGTGATAGATACATTTACAACAACAACACACACACACACACACAAACGAGAGAGAGAGAGAATCTGCTGAGGCTGCTTATATATAACCAAAACCTTATGGGATTTGATTCCTTGGTTTGGAGGTTTAAGGTCATGATATCATGGGACATCCCAGTTAACTGGCCTAATGACGTGTTTACTGAGTCTGTTCTCTTAGTTCAGCACATAGTGCCTGAGGTCTTAAAAGCCTGCAAGGGGCCACCCAAGGCACAAGTGATCTCTATTCAGCTGGAGCAACAGAGGAAGAAGGAGAGTCAGGAATAAGACAAGATATGGAATGTGTGGATAAGTACCCCCATGAACAACTGCCTCCTTTGCCATGAGACCAGAAGAACTGGATGGTGCCTGGCTACCATTACTAAACACTTTGATCAAAGATTCCATAGAAGTATCTTGATTAAAAGAGGGAAAATGCAGAACAGCATTTCAAATTCTCATGGATTCCAGACTTTCTGGAGCCATGGAGGGTGGATGAACCCCTGAAACTATTGCACTGAGATAATCTTTAAAACTTAAACCAAAAATATCCCCTGTAGTCTTTTTAAAACCAAACAATAGTTAGCCTAACTATTATGCTCTTTTAAGAACTATATGGGATCAAATTGACAGCAGCATCTTGAAGGATTAGATAGGAACCTTAGGGGGCAGTGCGTCTGTTAATGAGGGAGGAACAACTCAGAAAAGGAGGGTGAGAATGGATGCACAACTCGAAGAATGTAATCAATGTCACTAAATTGTACATCTAGAAATGGTTGAACTGGTGTATGTTTTCCTGTATATAGTGTGAACAACAACAATAAATAAAATTAAGAGGAAAAGGTAAATAAATTAATTAATTTAAAAAAATTAATTGTGCTATCCCTAAATGTGGAGCAAGACTGGGATTAAAAACAAGGCAATTTTTCAAATAATGAAAATATTCCAATTTTTAAGTATTACCCAGAAAACAAAACAAAACAAAACAGTTTCCATCTAGTCGATTCTGATGCAACGACCCTATAGAACAGAGTAGAACTGCTTATAGGGTTTCCAAGGTTGTAATCTTTAGAGAAGCAGATTGCCGTATCTTTCTCCTGCAGAGTAGTTGGTGGGTTTGAACTGCCAACCTTTCAGTTAGCAGTCAAGAGCTTACAGATCCATTATTTTTAAATCTGGATTTGGGATAAAAGAGGAAACACTTAAAAACACCTTTAAGGAACTAACCTGGCAGTATATTTTAATAATCTAAATATTAAGTAAGAGAAGTGCTTAATAACACTGAATAGACACATAACATGTTTTACAAATAATTATAACTTTTCTATAAAGGAAATTACTTTTGAATATTAAATTTTATAAACCCTTTCCTTTTTCCTCTATGCTTAAAATAGGTTAAAAAATAACTGTTATACTCACAAAACTAATTCTGAAGCTTCTTGTGAGGCAAAATCTTAAATTCTAAATCCATATGTACTGGAGGTATTTTCAGTGAAACTGTCTGGACTCCATTGATTCATAATGTGATTATTTCACTTAAAAACCATTGCAGCAAAGTGCATTCAAACACAACTGATGTATTTTTATGACACACTGAAATCATAGTGTTGAAAATAGCTCTCTGAATCATATACTCTACGGATCTGCTATTATGGAAAGATAGGATTTTACTCACCTAGTTATTTAAGACACACAAAAGTAGATTCCATTAAGTCTTTTGGTAAATATTTTAGTCCATCAAAAAATGTTGCTTTTCAGCTTTATTTCTATCCATATAAACATCCCTATAAATATTTCCCAGCCCCTTCCCCTTTTCTCTTCCGCTCTGTATCCCAGAGAGCTGACTCCTGTGAACCACATATCCCAGGCTCACTTGCTAACTGGCTTCTGGTGAGGACAATGAGAGGCATTGGTGGGAGATTCAAGGGTAGGAGGGGAGGAGAAGTCTGGGTATTTCTTCCCCTCTCTGCCTCTAAGATTGTCCCTAGCAGTGGATTTCTCTTTCCTAATTTCAGCTTTTGCTGGGGACCAGCTCCTGGACTTTGAGAAACCCCACCTCCTCCTTTGGGCTTTTCAGTCCTGGGGGTGGTAGTAGCTTTCTAGTCTCTATGTTACCTTTCTGGTAATTCTTTCTACAACTGTTTAAATCATTCCCTGTATTAAAGCCCTCTACTAAAATACCTAGTATGAAGTGCATTTTCCTGCCTGGAAAATATATATACATATATATATTTGTGTATATGTGTGTGTGTGTGTATGTATAGAGTCATGTATTGCTTAACATTCATGTTATGTTCTGTGAAACAGACTTTTATGTGTTTGGATGTTCTGCGAATACTGTATTATGGAAGAAGGTCCTTTCAGGCATTTGCTTCCAGAATAAGGAGGTTTTATGTACACTACAAATTTGCTCGAGAAAATAACCTCCCTCTACAACTAGTTTAGAGACCACCTCAAGAATAGATGTGACGCACTGAACACTAATGACCGAAGACCAGACAAGTTGTGGGATGACATCAAGGACATCATACATAAAGAAAGCAAAGGGTCATTAAAATGACAGGAAAGAAAGACCAAAATGTAAGTCAGAAGAGACTCTGAAACTTGATCTTGAACATACAGTAGCTAAAGCGAACAGAAGAAATAATGATGTGGAAAGAGAGATTTTATTGCTGATGCCAGATGGATCCTGACTAAAAGCAAAGAATACCAGAAAGATGTTTACCTGTGTTTTATTTACTACGCAAAGGCATCTGACTGTGTGGATCATAATGAATTATGGATAACATTGCAAAGAATGGGAATTCCAGAACACTTAATTGTGCTCATGAAGAACCTGTACATAGAACAAGAGGCAGTCATTTGAACAGAACAAAGGGACACTGTGTGGTTTAAAGTCAGGAAAGGTGTGCAACAGGGTTGTACCCTTTCACCATACTTATTCAGTCTATATGCTGAGCAGAGAAGCTGGACTATATGAAGAAGAACATGACATCAGGATTGGAGGAAGACTCATTAACAACCTGTGATATGCAGATGACACAACCTTGCTTGCTGAAAGTGAAGAGGACTTGAAGCACTTACTGATGAAGGTCAAAGACTACAGCCTTCAGTTTGGATTACACCTCAACATAAAGAAAACAAAATTCCTCATGACTGGACCAATAAGCAATATCATGATAAATGGAGAAAAGACTGAAGTTGTCAAGGATTTCATTTTACTTGGATCCACAATCAATACCCTTGGAAGCAATAGTCAAGAAATCAAA